AACCAGCCCTTTCAGGGTAGAGGCCGTGAGAGAGGGAGACAATCTGGGAATTACCAGCCCCGCCAAGACAGGAGTCCGGTAGAGGGAGTCCCAGATGGGCAAGCAATGAAGTGCTGGACCACAACGACTGGGAACTCCCACCCCCAGCCGTTCTGGTCACTGACACCCCAGTAGGTGGGAGACTGGGTCATTATTGGAAGAACTGGCAGTTATTAGGGGATCCACCAGGCTTCTACTCCCCAGTGTTTCTGGTTCCCAAAAAGGATTCCGACAAATTCAGAATGATCCACAATCTATCTCGGTTCAACGAATGTTTTCTGGAAACGCCGCTTCACTTTCAAATGACAACCTTGAGACTGCTCAGCACCAGAATCAGCACCCACGATTACCTGATCAGTCGCGACTTACAGGACGCGTATTTGCATGTACCAATACACCCCAGTGACAGGCGTTTCCTCAGGTTTATTTTCAATGGTATCCATTTCCAGTGGGTGGTACTCCCCGTTTGGAATTTCTTCAGCCCCGTGGCGTTTCACACAAATAACCAAGCCAATAGCAGCCTATCTACACCTGAGGAACATTAAATTCAAGTCTCCTAAATCAGCAGGACCCGTCAACTCCTGTCCTACACGGGATTTCACCAGACGCCTTCTTTATCAGCTGGGATGGATTGTCAACAAGCAGAAGTCGGAACTCATGCCCTCTTGCATGCTCCAGTTCATAGGCGGATTGTTTCAGACACATCTGAACCTCGTATCCGTTCCGAGAAACTGCTGGCCTAAGATTCTGCAGCATCTTTATCCAGCGCTCCATCAATCCCGTACACTTCACCAGTGGCAAGTACTTCTGGGTTTACTAATGTCAGCACAGGATCTGACAACCAGAGGTTGTCTTCAACTGCGCCCGATCCAACTTTTCCTAGCCCCATTCATCAGGCGTCAGGATCAGTCAGTCTCCATCACTCTACCGTCTCACCTCAAGATGTACCTCCGATGGTGGACGATAGAGTCGAATGTCTCAGGAGGCGTCTCCTTGACCGAGTTAACACCCACTCTATGCCTCTTCGTAGACACATCTCTCCAAGGTTGGAGTGCCCATCTCGAGGGCATGGTCATCTCTAGGCGGTGGTCCACCGACCAACGCAGTTGGCATATCAACAATCTGGAGTTGGAGGCAGTCATTCTGGCCAGTGTCTCACTGGCAGTCATGACTTCCGCATGCCAAACTCATCATATCAACAGACAATCATATCGATGGTGGTCTGGTGTCTTTGCAACCAGGGAACGACTCATTCTCCCTCTCTGCTGCATCAGACATTTTGTTTTTTTCATTTGGTCGATCGCCTGGACTTGCAATCTATTGTCCAAACCTAAGCGTGCATGCTTTTCCACCACTGGTACTTCTTCCCAAGGTCCTTCAAAAGGTCAGAGCAACTCACCACCTCTCTCTGATTTTGATCGCACCTTGGTGGCCGACGAAAAGTTGGTTCGCAGATCTAAGAAAGCTCGTCACCAGCAACCCTCTAAAGCTGCCAGAGTGGCCCAATCTACTGATAAACCCACACAGCAGACCTCCACACCCGGCTCCAGAACAGTTTCATCTGCATGCCTGGTACATTTACAAAGGGATTTAAACGCCAAGGGTTATTCAGCTAGAGCTGCTATGGCCATAGGTCTAGTGCACAGACCCTCTACCCGAGGTTCATTTGACGACAAATCGAGATCCTTTGAGAGTTTTTGCAAGGACAAACACCAGGATCCTGTTACTGCATCACCTTTATTCTTGGCTGAATTCCTTCTGTTTCTGCGTAATCACTGACACCTCAGGGGTAGTACCATTACGACGTATTTGGTAGCTCTGAACTCGGTGTTAGCTGTTCCAGAGTACAGAAAGATGACTAAGATTCCGGGAATTGCAAGCTTTGCTGCGCTCCTTCCGATTAGAGGACCAGAAGGCCAAGTTCACGCCGCCTGCTTGGGACCTGAATGTGATGCTTCAGCTGTTGCGGGAGGTGCCATTCCAGCTGCTTCATGCCATATCTTTTTACAACCTCACCAAGAAGACGTTTATTGCACTTGCATTGGCCATGGCAGCTAGGATGAGCGAGCTGCATGCACTCAATGTCAACTGGGTTCGTTTTGAACGTACCTCACACGGGGCTGTCCAGCTGGGACTGTGCTTGGACTTCACAGGTCTTTCACTATTCCACCTCTCTCTGATCTGAAGGTGACGCAGAACTTCATTTATGCCTGGTCCACGCACTTTTCGTTGTTTTCTCAGTCGATCACAGGCTCATCGTGGTTGAGAAAATGGCTCTTCATTCCTGTCTTCAAGACATCCAAGGCAGAAGTTTGGCGTTATGGTTGCATGCCACCATCCTCCAGGCTTATGAAGCCGCCAACTTGGACCCTCCTTGGGCAAACAACCCTCACCAGATCAGAGCGGTAGCCTCCATGATGGCCCTCCACAGTAATTGTTCCATTAGATCCATCATGGAAGGATGCTTTTGGAAGTCCGATACAGTCCTCGCCAGTCACTGCTTGAGGGACGTGGCACTAGAAGATTTCAAGGGCGTACACAGTTTTGGTTCCCTGGTGGTGGCACAGCAGGTTACCAATCCCAAATGCCATTAACTCCACGGCAGTTCAGAGCGACTCTTTTGGTGTACGTTACCCCAGACGAGAAGGTTACTGGCATAACTGGTCTATGGGATTACCGGTCATCAGCCACGACTGCTGACAGATTATCTCCGACGATGTGGGAGGTTTCTTTTTCTCAAGAGTACTTCACCTGAAGGTTTGCCCTCCTCCATACCGTCAGATACAGATGCATTAAGGAGTAATGAAGGATAAGGTAAAAAATCTAGTAAAATCTAGATATTTTTTATATTTGTATACTTATCTTGCATTACTCAGTCCTGTCGTCCGCCCATCGCAGCGCTACCTCCCTATGATGTTTCTTTAGATGTTACAATCCAGCAGTAATGTGAAGATACGTGATGCAGCACTTTCCGGGTCAATATGGCGGCTCGCTTAGTTGGAACAACTTCTCTTCAACGTTTCCATCACACAGCTTCGTCTTGTCAAAGGAAAGCAGTATGTGCATTAAGGAGTAATGCAGGATAAGTATACAAATATAAAAAATACCTAGATTTTACTAGGATGTTTTAATTATGTTAAGAATTACAGCAATTGAAAAATTTGAACTGAGAAAAGTTTGTTCAACCAACAATTGAAAATTATTGAGTTGATTATTTTCAAATAAGGAAAGCATCTTCTTTGTCTAAGGAAGAGGTGAACCCGTGAAGATCCAGGTTGGAATTGGTCTTCAGTAACCCATGGTTGTAAGAGACGACTAACAGGATCGGGTGGTCAGGCTCGCTGACTTGGTTGACACATGCCATCGTATCCCAACTGCGTAGAATGATACTCATGATGTTGATCACTGGATTTTCTGGTCCAGACTCAATTATTTACAGACGGCCACCAAACAGCTGGAATATTGCTGAGTGCGGTGTAAAACTAAACTCAGTCGTTCAGTCAATAAAGAAGAGGTGCAGTGCAAAGTTTGATTCTGACTTTTATAATTATATAAATTGAGTTTCAAGTTGCACCAAGTTTCATATTATGAATGCACTGTGTGTGAATAAAATCCAGTCACTTCTGATTCTGACTACGAGTGAGGGGGAGTTTATTTTAAACTAGGGTTTCCTTTCTGTCTGTTGGATACATGGACTAATTTACAGTTGGGTGAACATTGTTTTAACACTACATTACAGTCTGAGACTCAAAGGTAGTTTTTTAAGATATTATTTTTGCCTGATGCTGGGACTGTCACACGGAAAAGTGACCAGTCTTGACCATTTGTTACCAGCCAAAATCCAGCATATACCAAAGAACAACCACTGAAATTGTACTGCAATAGTTTTACAACTGCAGCATTTCAATTTCATTTCAAAGCAACATGTTGCCTTTATGATGAGCTGTCTGTGCTCAGTGAACCTGTACTTCATCAACTGTGGCAACTAAGAAAACACTGGGTTATGATGAGCTGTCTGTGCTCAGTGAACCTGTACTTCATCAACTGTGGCAACTAAGAAAACACTGGGTTATGATGAGCTGTCTGTGCTCAGTGAACCTGTACTTCATCAACTGTGGCTCACTGAGAAAACACTGGGTTATGCTAAACATGATATATGTGGTAGAAGGTTTCATTCATGTCATTGATCATGTGAAAACAATCTTGGCTTTCAGACAGTAAAAAATCAGCAGTAAATGCAAATGAACTGATATGGTGCAAAAGTAATCCTCAGCGCAGGTATTTTATTTATCAAAATATAATCTTAGGTATTACTTGAAAGAAGTAAAGGTTCAAAGGATGTCTTACCAAGACAGTGAGACATACATATGTATATTCAAAGTTGCTCATGGCTTTTGACTTCATTCAAGTACAAGTCCAAGCACTTGCTCAAAAACTTGTCTAGAATGATGGGTAATGATGAACAGTTGTAAGTATCTCCTACCTCAGCCAGGGGCGGTGGGGTAGCCTAATGGTTAAAGCATTGGCTCGTCACGCCGAAGACCCGGGTTTCGAATCCCCACATGGGCACAATGTGTGAAGCCCATTTCTAGTGTCCCCCGCCGTGATGTTGGTGGAATATTGCTAAAAGCGGCATAAAACAAAACTCAGTCAGTCAGTCTACCTCAGCTTTCATAATACCATACCTTTTAAAACTTTTGAAGTTTGTTTTTACCTTCACATAACATTAGTTAGAAATTTCTTCCATAAAACCAGAAGGGACATTGTTCATGACAGGATTTGTTGTGTCTGTTTGATTTTTTATATTCATAAAAAGGTGATGATTTGATACACACACACAAAAAAACACTCTGGGTAAATACTCAGGGATTTTCTTTGTGTGCTGAGCTTACTCAGTGTTTCCACATTTTAGTGGAGTGATAATTCCATAATTTACTGAGATCTTGATTTTTTCTGACCAGATTACGTGCAATGTCCTCACTGCCAACGTCGTTTCAATACTAAAGCTGCTGAACGTCACATACCATTCTGTAAGGAAAAGAGTCAGCGTATCAACAGGGCTCAACCAAGTGCTGCTGCCAAAGCTAAGCAGGCTGCACGTTTACAGGTAACATCTCATCAGAATTATATTTGGTCCTTTTTATGTATGTCAACTTGATTAGAGGTGTTTCTGTGAGAACAGTTGTTTCGAGGTTATCACAATGAATTTATCACAATACATATCAATTAGCGCACCAGCCCTATTGAATAATTCATAATGTGTTCTTTCGCATTTTTTAATTGCTTTCTGAGCCTTGACCTTTGTCTGTTGACTACAGAAAAACAACAAAATGTTGGCAATATGTTAATTTGTATGCTCTGTCTGTGAGAAATGCCAATGCTGTTGATTTTGTGGAAAAGCAGTTTATTGAATAACTATTGTCATGGAACGACACATTATAGATAGTGCCGGATCTAGCTGTCTGTATAGGTCCCTTGAAATCTTAGAATATCAATATCTTTATAGCTGTGGGATATGTTTTTGACACATTTACCAGACAAATTTGTTAATCAAATCAGAGACAATTTGCCTGCATGTAGAAAAGGTTACAGGAATTTGACAGGGAAATGATAGTCTTTATTTATTTGCAGTATTTGATCATATGATGGTGCAGTGTGTTAGATATACATTTGGTGTTGTAGGAACAGACAAAATGGTTTTCACCCTCCTTGTATGACAGATTTCTGTCTGTTAGGAAGGAGTGCATTTTCAGAATGAACAGAATTATGTGGTATTACACAAAGATCAGTTTCAGGGCTAGTCACTGAATCATGCTAATCAATTTTATTGAAAGCAGATATGTATTTTATGCCTCTATAATACCTCTATGCATGAAGATCCGAGGACACTTCCATAGATGGTTGCATCAAAGACTTTTGGGTTTAGATGTGATCTTTCAAAAATGATTCAGTTACATGTATCACTTTGCTTCAGGAAAACTTTACAATGGAAAATCCTCAAAGAACACAAATCTTCCTCTGATGGTATTCCCTTTTTGGTATAAATGTCATGGAGCTAGTGTTTGATAAGGTAAATAAGATATCAACAACACTAATGGCACATCGTATACTGCAAATCTGGAAAGTGACACAGACTTGTAGTAGTTTAATGATGTTAAATTTGTGGACCAACGACAAATAAAATAAGAAAGCTTCTTCTTTCAATTCACTCCAATACATTGTCAGCCAAGCCAGTACTTAGAAATCAATAATCTCTCACATCATGTGTTTCCATAATTACACAAGTCTTGTGAATACGTCTCTCTAACACTTGATTGCTAATTTTTGCTGTGGCACACAGGAGCACATGTTTTTTTATCTGTTTCTCTGAAATGTTTTAATTTTCCAAGGTTTATATATTTTGTTCAAGTCTAAGATGGGTACATCTAAAGGCACATAAATATATTTTGTCTTCTCCCTTTGGAGCTAAAATGTTTGTTATATGGTAAAGTTATGTCTCTGTACAATCCTCACACCCAGTGCTGGGAGTGTGTCGAGAAGCAATGTTTCTTTTGTATATACGTCGTAGATGTCACACCATGTCTACAGCATCCTTTTAGAGTGAAACGAAGACAGGAGAAGAATATCTCCTAACTCCTGCCATGATCACTGAAGAATTGGACAGATAGGCAGATATACAAACAGACTCAGGGGAGCATGGTGTACTCCCTGATTAAATTCACCATGACCCATGATCACGGAGCCGAAGTATGTCACAGAAGAAGGCCTTCAGTAGCCCTGTAACCCTTCAGAGAGCTCATCAAGAGTCTGTCACCCAACGCTAAGAGGGAGGAGTACCCAGGCACCCTAGACTTTAGCTCAGCAGCAGCGAAATCCAGTGACTTAATCATGGCGGCTCTATCTCCAGAACATGATGACTTAGATGCAGCAGAACAAGCTTTTAGTCCATTGACAGCTATCAACCTGGAAGAACCTTCATCAGCATGAGTCCTTGCTCACAACTTTCTTCCCTTGCAAGCTGAATCCTATCAAATGCAAGGTGTGGATATCATGACAGCCTGCACTAGCAGCGTGAATCGCATCTGCTGGTTGGATAGCTGAGGGCACACTGACCCAGTTGCTGAGAAAAGAGAAGCTGTTCATCTTGAGCTAATACCATGGACCACAACAGCCAAGTAGACCGCACGGAGTCAGACTGCACAGGACTTTCAGATAGAATTAATTCAACTGGTATGGTTAGAGAGCAACAGGTTTCTACCACCCGTACACGGACGCACTGACCACACAGGATGCACTAATCATACTATCAACTCGGACAGTAGAAATTGTTGTGAAAACAGAACGGTTGCTTGCATGTGACACACACCTAGTTTGGACCGTATCCTGCCAGATACCACTACCTTGTGTTATGGCTGCTGCTGCATGCCCTGGATGCTAGGTCGCTTGCATTCTTGAAAATAGGAGTGCAACCACCTACTTACAGGTCACTCAAGCCACATGAGATAAGAGCTATTGCATCATCCCTTGCCACATGGAAGACAGTCTTCATTGAACAGATCAAGTCAGCCTGCCAGTGTGCGTCTTCCAACACATTTACCACAAAATACCTGAGGGATGTGAACCAAGACATGCAGGGATTGCATGATTTTTGGTCTCTAGTTTTTGCCCAGTCAAGACAAGACAAGAATTTTATTGTATTCAAGGCCTCTAGCCCACATACAGTTTACAGAGTTATACATAAGTATTTTTTTTACAAGTCAATTGTAACTAATGTTTTACAGAGAATATGGAGACTCACCAACAGCAGGATTTACTGTAGTAGGCGATGAGACTTGGGACATGTTATCTATAGGGCAGGACCCAGATTGGAAAAGATGTGTCATAGGTCATGTTGCCCACATTCAAAGAATAGCAGTTGCAACAATGTACAGAACACTTAAATAAACAAAGGTCAATTTCAATATTTTGCCATCATTGTTAGTTTAATCACCACAAAAATGCTGTCAAATTCCATGGGTAATTGATGATCCAACAACTTGTCGAAGTAGTTGAGCACAAATCCTTTATTACCTCTTGTGAAACTTGCAAGTACAATGTCAACTATATGCAAACTCACCAATTTATCATATATTTTATACTTACAGTACCAAGCTCCTCGTCCTAAGGTGAAAGGCAGTCCTGGTGGGTTATCCTCTGGTGTTGCACCTTCCAGTCATGCTCCTGGAGGGCAGTCCATGGTCCTTAGTTCAGCTGCTGCCAAACCTGGTAAGAAAAATTATTACAAGAAAACATAAAACCTCTGGTGGTGAACTTTTGACTCTTAAGAATAACATTTTGGCATTTCTGGTTCACTTTTAAAACCAGCTGACTTCATCCAGGTGAGAGAGTCTGTTGGGCTGCTATTCTGTTCTACACACTGTATATATACACGATGAAGTGGTTTCCTTAAAGGGGCACTGATCAAGAGCAATTTCCATGGACTGGTTGTTGCTTTTGTTATTGTTTTTTTCCCATGAGTACCCGGATGATATCCCAGAATTCTTGACTGGTTCGTGACCTCTGCTGCGCCACCCGCAAAAACAATTGATAGTATAAGTATAGATTGATCAACAAAGAGGAAATCTTTTTGACTCGATAATATTTCCATCTTCATTAATTTGATAACAAATGAAAACAATTTGAAGTTTAACCATCTGCTAGTGGTGAAATTGGTGAAAAATTTTAGGACTGAAAAATAAGTCAATGTACGTCTTTATATTTTGTTTTATAATCCTTATTTGTTCATTATCATATTTGTATGCATTTTGAAACCTAATAAAATGCACACGATCTGCTTATACTTATTGTGACTTTATAACATGACTGTAATATCTAGACAGTTTATAGATTGCCAACGTCGATTCAATCAATCTTTATTTCAGTACTTAAAAAGGCCACAGGCCTGTAGTACATTTAGAGTTTACATGAGTAGATAGAAGTCATTTATAAATTCTTTTCTGCAACAATACTTTTTCTTAATCTCATAGCGAAATAGATGTACATTGCCAGATTCTGTAATATTGATGTGGTAGTATCGGTTAATAGTGAAATTAATGTTCTTACACTTGGATGCTTATAATAGTATGGCTTTAAGTAGTTCGTTCGTAGAGTCGTATAAACAGGACAGATTAGAAAGAAATGTAGTTCATCCTCAACAGTACTCATATTACATAACTGACACATTCTGTTTTCTCTTTGTATACCTGCATACCTGCCAGTTTCAATAAGTAATTCATGGGAAGAGCAACGAAAACGAGAGAGAGCTATACGGAACTTCTTTACGCCGATTTTTGCTAAATAGTCTTCAAAACGTATGTCATATTTCCATTGATTATAGTATAAACATTTTGTGGATAGAAGTAGTGATTCCGACCAAGACTGGAAATAGATATCTTTCATTCTTTGTGTAAATGATATGATAAAACTGGTATGCAACTGAACATTGTGATCACACCACACATAACCATAACCAGTTTTGTTCAACAACTCCCTAATATCACTCACCCAATTTCTTTTCCCATTTTCGTCATACAATTTCGTCGATTATGTATTATTACACACACGACCTAGTGTATGTTGTTTGTCTCATTACACTTCACGTCGAAAAAAAATGATTCTGTATAATGCTACAATAAATGAATAAAAACAAAATGCAAATATTAAAATTAAAACAGACTAAAGTTACAGCAACAATGTCAGGCTATCCTACCTTGTTCGAGGAATGTATCCATCAATATCCACATAAGGGAACGACATGCCATTCACCTTCAGCTGACAAAGAATCCTGCTCCATGTCATGTGTCTTGTATCAGTCAAATATGCAAAAAAGTAATATATCGTTTGAGATTTTTCACACTGGTGTAGAGACTGATTGGTCACCCAAGATAGCACACCTGGCACAATTGCATGATGTCTTTAACAAAGTAATTTAGTTAGCCAATAATGAGCAATCAATCAATGTATTGGCGGTTAAGCCTTTAAAGGGAGGATGTTGTTTTTACACAGGCACTTTACGACAGGGTGTATTCGGTATAGATTAGTAAATCTACATACATAAACACTACCTTTTGACAAATCGGTCATACCCAACTTTGCCGGACAGCTGATGTGATGATAACGGATTAAAAGTAACGGTCCGGTCGCTTGCCGGCTATAGTCGCACAAGTTAACATTGAGTTCATTCCTAGTTCAAGAGGAGGTAGACACTCTTGATCACAAGTTTAGGGTTAAGAGCACAAAAGGGGACCGAGTTCATTGGAAATGTTGTAAGACAGGTTGTCCTGCAAATGTCATCACCATCAGGGATGTTCTCAGCAGTTCCAAGAACATACACAACCATCATCAAGACCAAGTTCAACTTCACGTTGACACCTTTCTTGCGACGTTGAAGACCAAAGTCTGGAGTGATTCCAGACCAGTTCAGGCTATTTACCATGAAGAAATAGACAGTAAGTTTAACATTGTGGACATAACCTTAATACTGTACCATGTAATTGAGATACTGAAATGTGCAATGGATTGTGTAAATGGAATATCAAGTCAGAATATAAAATTATAACATATGGTATCTTACTATTTTATTTGTTATATATCTTATGTTTTTGTTTCCAGAACTCCGGAGAGATGTTCCTGAAGCAGTGCCTTCAGTGCCCACTTTCTACGGTATTCATTCCAGCCTGTACCGATCTCGAGCCAAGGAAATGCCAAACCTGCCATGCCGGCGCGCCGACATCATTTCAACTTCACCAATACGCCTACCAACACAGACTTCCTGCTCCATGCTACTGACCTTTATGACTCCTCCTTTATTCTATCAAATCTATACTATACATGCTTTTGTTGAGAGGAAAATGTTTCCTCTAGTGTATGGCCTACTGCCTGATAAGAAACAATCAACCTATGCAGATTTCTTTAGACTTCTCAAGCAGAAGGCAGCTGAGCACAGCATCAATCTACGACGTTCAACATTCTTCAGTGATTTTGAGAATGGTGCGCAGAATGCAGGAAAGGAAGTGTTCCAGTGTGAGCTTAAGGGCTGTATGTTCAGGTGTACATTAGCACTTCCTTTGGTTAGGGTGTGTGATGTCGAGAACTTTTGGTTTCATGCATAAGAGTTTTGATCTGAATGACCAGGGTGTGCAACGGTTTGCCAACTACGTCACCAAGCAGTGGGTTGAGGTTCGCAAGCTGCTGCTCTGAAACCACTTTCATACAGATGGACCTAGAACGACCAATCATGTAGAAGGTTGGCACTCTCATTTAAAGGGCAAGTGTAACGAAAATTAACCTTTTTGTCTTGCACGTTTTCTTCATAAAAAGTGTTTATCAAGCCGTTTTATATCCAAACCCGTACATAAATCAGAAGTAACTAATTTATTATTTGCGTTATATCAATTCATATTTTCAACATTTACCAAGAGTTCTATGTCCACAATAAACACACCATGGCTTATGTCCCTTGGAAATGACGTCATTGGTGCCCAAACGATAAACGAATGACGTCGTCAGACCTTATTAGACCCATTTCACGTGGTGCAGGTATAGGTGTGGTTCTTGTGTCTCGATGCGCAGGCTACTGTTTTAATCCACCTGTTGCTTGGCCGTCAGCTTGCTATGTGGTCAGTTCTACACTGTAATGACGTTGCAGTTTGAAAAAACGTATACATTGTACTAAGAGTGTTACCACGTAACCAAATTGTATAACATATACAACCTGAGTCGGTCGTCTTTCCAACAGTACCTTTTTTCATGAAACCTATAAAACGTGTATGCACTACATCTTGCTTGCCATCGGTGAATGTGCCGGCATTCTACGTTTGTTGCTAAAGTTCTTACATAAATCGTACGATATGTCACTCCTCTTCCACCTAATTCACTTTTATATCGATAGTACTCTACATCACGCAGATAAATGCAATTTGCAGTTTTGAACACTGTTTGAAATTCGTTTTTCTATGATAGCATCCGCTGATTGTAGATAAAATTTACTGAAAATTACATGCATCGTAAATCTTGCCAGTTTTGACACATTACTAAATCACCATTCACTGCGTTTTTCGTAATTTATGGTAAAATGTCAAATTTTACTGGGAGAATTGAATTTAAAATAAAAGATGTATCATTGTGATCAGCAGTAGTTTTGTTGTTGTATGATCGAATCACCAATGCTTTCGTTCTGAAACATTATCAATGAACCGAGAATCGCTGAGAATGTTTTGGAAAATACATAAGCGTCAAAGTGAAGTTTCAGCCATATTACATAGTGTTTATAAAATCACGCCACATGTATGTCGGTTATGTTTAGTCCATAAAATTCAACACCATCTTCCTTACATGAATCCCTGAATTCCTCATACAGTTCAAAATAAACTGACAAATGGACTTTGTCACCAATAATGAAGTGTTTCAGTGAAATCTAACGAAATATATCGAAGATATGAATTTGCGCTGTGAAAGAATACTTGTTTGAAATGTATACAAAGCCAATCTCAGATTTTACACATGTATCCGTTAAGCCTACTTGTTGCATACAATTGCTCATTAGTTTTAGAACATGCATGGGAAAGGTATCAGAGCAAGCGATAGTTAAATAAAACAGGTGTATGCCAATGATTTTCTAGATTCATCACAACATATTATAGTTTTTGAAAGCATGACGCCATAACTGACGCGCAAACTCACGCACAACGATGACGGTACTTCTCTTAATTTCTGACTATTCCCTTGGTCACAATGAAAACAAAAAGAAAATAACAACCAGCAGACTGTCAGAAGTTTGGGACTACTTACATGTCACATTTATGCATATATCGTTGCTTGAAACAACGAAAATGTCCTTCGAAAACTTCGTGTCAGTGAACACGCCATTTTGCAAACGCCGCTTCCCAATAGTGATGTCATCACGGACGTCAACATTGTTATACATATTTGGTATTTTCATTGAGGCGAGGTTATGAATGAAAATACACACGCACCAATCCGGTCCTGCTGCTTACATTTTCTGTTCTTATGCTTCTTCGTATTTTCACGAACTTTTTTTCACGTGATTAATATCAGTATTATTATCTTTTGATTTGGGACTAGACAGGAGACCAGTTTAAATTCAAGTGGCACCAATTACGTCATAATCAAAGGGCGGTAACTCTGGCCTGTTTAGCTCGGCAAAAAAATACCTCATATTGGCATAACATTTCAGCACTTATTTTGAGGGTTATACTTACGTTGTA